TCACTTGGTTGTTACCGACATCTGGTGAAAATTTCATGTCATTAGCACCTCTAGTAATATATTTACTGAGAAAAATGGTGATGTGTTCAATACTTATTTTACCCGCTGTATGTTTTAGTCCCAAACTGGAGATGTTGTAAACAGCAGTGAGGTGTCATCATCCTATTCATCCCCAAAGAACCTTTAATTTATCTAAATTCAGCAGAACATAAATGTTCATGAGAGCTCCCTATAGGCAAAAAGAAGCATTTCCTGTATTTTTACACAGGATTTGGTAAAGAACAGCATAATTATTTTTAAACTTGATGTTTCATTAAAAAAAATCAATAAACACAGGATGAGCACACACAAAGTAAGGGTATTTAAAGCAACGGCAGAGCCCTATAAAGTGTTTACTGTATGTTTTACTTCTCTAAAGGTCTGGCTGTTTTATTCTTTAAAATGCTCTGATTTTTAAAAACCTTGGGGGGGGGGGGGGATATTATGCAATATTGACTTTTTTGAGCTTTATATGATGTTATAAGGCTATTCCCTCATCAAAAACATAACCAGAGTGCTGCTTTGATTAATTCATCATTAAATCCCCTGTGGTAGCCACGTGGAGCTGCCTAAATGTTTGCTGGTACAAATCACTGCCTATTTGTACTAAACACCCCCTCCCCGAAAAATTGTTGAAAAGTTATTCTGAAGTGGGAGTGTCAGAAATGGTAGGAGGTTCTTAAGGAGACAGAGGCTAATTTCAAGGAGTTTAGACAGACTGTGGAGCAAAGTTTAATTTATTTTTGATTTATTCATAACAACTGATGGTAACATGGTTACTTGATTGTTGTATACAACTGAACAATGTGCCTAGAAAATACATAACACACGTTTTAAACTAATAGCAAAAAATAAAAATACTAAAACAAAGCTGAGCTGTGTTGTAGACACAAACTAACACTTTGGTAAATGGATAGAATTCCTTTTTAGCACACTGCTGCCATTTATTCATTAAATGTGAGTACCTGCCGCTTCCAGAAGCTGTGACAAAGCCGCATCGCTGGTGATATACTCCCATCAATGTTGACAATCTTTCGAAAATGGCAGGTTTGGTTTCTGTAAAGAAATAAAAATAACAGAGCCAATCAATGTAAAGCAAAGCGCTGTATTTCGTACAGAATCCACATTCAGGATTGTCTGACATGGTTACCTCATGTAAACACCAGGTGGAGCCATAGTGACTCCAAATCTTATAGCAGCAGCCTGAAACTCAGGAGAGATCCCTGGATCAACAAACTTCTGGTAGCCTGCACACAGGGAAAAACACAACGTAACACAACTCAGAAAGCAGAAAATCTCCAGCTTTATCCGTGTAGCCAAAGTAAATAACATCCAGGGATCATCTGGATGTTGTTCTTTAACTCTCTTCAGCTCATTCAGCAGAAAGACGGAGACTCTTGGGTGATGCTTTTGCTGACGGAGCACATATCTGTGGAACACTGCCACCGATAGCTCACCTCACCTCACCACAGACTGTAGTCACTGGTGCATCACCTGCCCCCCCCTGCACTTGTACGTGCTCGTCCTCCGCTGATGAATCTTACCTGGATAGGGAGGAAGTTTGTTGCCTCTGAGGAATCCTGGCAGCCATTCATAAAGAGCAATACTCTGTGAAAATGCAGAGAGGTTAACTGAGTGCAGCTTCTTCAATCTGAAATAAAATGAATTTGTGACAAGGAATCATTTTTTTCCTGACTTTTCCTTGTTTTATTTATTAAAAGAAGTGTCATTCCTTCAAGACCTCGTTGACCTCAACTCTTTCTGAGCACACAGTTCCAGAGAGTACGTACAGGACATGTAAGAGATGACGTACCAGTCCTTAAAGACCACCTGTCGTTAATGAAAACGCCATCTTCCCAAAGTGCAAATTAAACCAGCATCAGCGCAGCGAGGGGATTACACCAAATCTTTCCCTTCTACCTGGAATGTGGCCACAACCATCTTCCTGGCGTGTTGGAACAGCTTCTCGTCTGACCACTCTGGGTGTTCCTTGTGCAGCTCGACGGCGACGTAATTGTGATAGCGAAACCAGATAATCCCCTCTGCTGCCGTGAACACATTCTCATTGGCCCAGGCGTTTCCCAACTCTGGACAGAGGAGATGGCACAAGGCAAGGAAGTTTTGCTTCTTTCATCAGGCTGATAAACATTAACAAAGACACGTTGCGCAGAAGTGGGTCAAACATGTAAAAGTGTTTCTTTACCCAAAAATCCTGCACCTCCTGCAGAATCCTGTCTCAGAAAGTGAAAAATACCTTCAAGCACTTCTATAAAAGTTTTTTTTCTACGAATGTGTCAAGAAAATTGGGGTGGGATGGCCCCTCGCTCTTTGCTCCAGATAATAACGGTGCAACTTTCACAACACAGGCAACAAAACACTGTTTTTTATGACACATCCTTGTCTTCTTCTCTGCTATTGAAAGAAGGATTTAGTCTGGTCAGTGTGACACGACGTTTACACAATAATTAGAGTCACGTCAGGCTGGGCCTCTTTTGACTCAGGCTCCGACTGCAACACTGATCTACGGGTGAAATATTGTTTGCAAACAGTTTCTTTGCTTTCAGCCGTGTGCAGTATCAACGGCGCGGTTATTGCGACACAGTTTGTTTTCTTTTGGACTGAATGAAAATTTCATTACTGTTTAAGCAAATAATTCATGCAGAAGCCTGTAAAAGTAAGATGAAATGTCACTGACCTCCACTGCTTTGGACAGAGGGCTGCAACTTTTACAATCAAGAGACATTTCTGTTCTTTGGCTCACTAATAAACAGTGTCCTGAGCTGCAAAACTTCCTACAACTCTACCAAAAACTAGTTCAAGCCAACGTGCAGTGATGTTTAGAGCAATGCATGAATGGAACTCACTACCACATAGCATTAAAGAAAGTACTGCTTACAGTTTTAGGAAGCAACTGAAAACTTATTATAAAAATAATTTATCTTTTGGATAGATTTATGTGCGTTATGAATGTTGAGATGTTGTTGTAAATGGAGAGATGCTATTGTGTTTTTATGTATTAAATGTAAATGTAGAGATGCTATTGTTTTTATGTATTAGAGTACCACAGTATCTAGGACTACAGTAAGTAGATGAAGTTTGTGAATTTTTGTTTTTGTAAGGGAAATTTAAAATATTTCCATATTTAAAGCTAAGGCTTGTGTTTTCTTTGAAATACTGAAATGTGGAATGTGTTGTTTTAATGTTTTATCTGTAGAGTGATTTCTTAAATGTAATTTGTCTTTTTTTTTTTATTGACCCCAGGAAGAATAGCTGATGCAGCACACTGCTGACGCTAATGGGGATCAAATAAATAAACAAATAAATAAACTGTGGTTATCAACTGGTGGCCCGAGGGCCACTTTGAGTTTGTTGAAGGGGGGGCCGTTCCAGCCAAAGAGGGTGACATTTTAAATATTGCAAATTTTAACGTTTATTACTATTTTTACACTTTAAGACAAAAGAAAAGAACATATTTATGTAAATGAGAAAAATACTGCATTTAGTTTTTTACCAAATTTAAAGGGATTGACACACGGGAGGCGACGTCGCTCGCTCTCCATTCATTTCCTATGSARCCTGTGCGGTGAGGCGACAATCGCTTGCCCTCCTCCAGCTAAGCGACC